CTATTTCAACATTATGTTCCATGTTTTATTTTGTTTTCAAGTTACATTTCAAAAAAAGATCTTTTTTTGTTTTGGCTTGGTGTTTTTTTTCTTTTTCTCAGCAATATCACACACAATTCCTCAGGATAGCACAGCAACTAAACCATAAACCACTTCCAACCAGGCCTCAGTTCTCCAGCTACTGGCTTCGGTTTATTGATGAAAGAAATCCTCAGCTCTGCTGACAGGGAGTAAACATAAACCATGGAGTCCTCGGAACAAAAAGGAAGTCCCAGGAGCACCCTCGTGTTTACCATTTTATGCCTGACTAAAACTGATACAAGAAAATAGACTATCGGCACAACTTCCGCGTAACTGAGAATCCCAAGCGAGGGCCAGCGCGGCCTGCTCCAGGCTCCAGCGAGAAGACAAGGAGCTCAGCCATTGTCACCCGCGGCCCACGTGGTCCCCAATCTCAATTACTGCACAGGGCTCGGGGCCCCTGCGCTGGTGTTTGGGACGTGACATGTTAGCGTCCATCCTGGAAAGATGTGGATAGGCCATACTTCCTATAACATTTTCCAAAGTGGCACTGGAATAACGGGTCCCTTCAGGGTTGGCTCATGACATACTCTAGACCCATTCCAATGGGCACACAAAGAAAAAAAAGCAGAATCAGAGCTGAGTTCCCCTTTAAAAGCCAAACACCTACATCTAGAGGGAGGCTCCCCTACCTGAGAGCCCTCGCCCTAGGGGGGTTCCCACTGTGAAAACCCTCAGGTCTCAAAGGTTAGTTGCAGGGCAGCCAGGTAGGGTAGGGCTGGCTGTAGGTCACTGGAGGTTGGGCAACGTAGTAGTTGTTGAAGTTGCCGTCGCTGACGTAAGGAGCCGGCTGGTAGTAACAGGTGACGTTGGTGGCGCTGGGGATGATGTTCTGCTCGGCCAGCACGCGCAGGGCCAGGAGGGAGATGAGGTTCAGGGTCTGCCTCCGCTCGTGCCCCATGAGGCACACGGTGCTCTCGTTCACCACCCGGCGCAGGATCATGAGGTAGTCGTACTTGCTCCTCTCTTCTTCGGCAAAGTGGTTCTGCAGGTAGGTCTCCAGCTTCCTCTGCTGCTCCAGGATGTCGGGGAAGTCGATGAAGAACCTGGAGCACATGTAGCGCTCGAGGGTTTTGATCTCCTCCTGGTCGGTGGGCCTGAAGTCCCGCACGAGGAGGTTGCTGTACTTGAGCAGCCCCCCGCCCCTGATCTCCTCGGGGTTCTTGGTGGCGATGAGTCTGTTCTGCAGGTGGTCGAAGGCCTCCTCGAAGTCCCCGTACATGCTCTCCCCGATCACGGTGGGGTGCAGGTGCTCGGAGATGGGCTGGCTGGAGCAGTCGTAGAAGAAGAGCAGAGAATCCAGAATGATCTGGAAGGAGTCCACGCTGAACTCAAACTGGCGCCGGATGGAGTCCACGAACTTCAGCTCCACGTTCCTGCCGTTCTTGTTGGACAGGGAGATGAGGCTCCAGCGGTCGGTGTCGGTGCACACCTTCACCAGCTTCTGCACGTAGGCCTCCTTCAGGGTGACCGGGCTGATTTTGAGCTTGTTCACCCCCTCGGGCAGGAAGTTCAGAAGGGAGCACAGAACCACATCCCTGACCAGCTGAAATTCTGCCTCGGTGGGAAGAGCCACGTGGAAGATGAGATCCAGGTCTTTGCAGCCCAGGCCGTTGTCTTTGACCAGGACGTGGCCGGCGGCGGAGCCGTTCAGCCGCACGTCCTGCACTTTGATGCCCGCCTCCTCCAGCCGCCCGCGGACGGTCTGCACGATGTCCTTCAGGGTGATCTCCAGGGTGGGGAAGTTGCCTCGCCCGTGGACGGGCACCACCTCATTCAGGACCTCGTGCAGCCGGCTGACCTGGTCCCAGCTGAGCACGCTGAAGGACACCCCGTCTCCGGTGCTGCTGCTCTCCTCGGCCATCTCGGAGCACGTTCTTGCCAGGGGAGCTGAAAGCGAGGGGGTGAGAAACAGAGTTAGGATTTACTTCTACGTGGCAAGGTGCTCGAGGGCCTCGGGGCGATGTTGATTTTTCTCTGAGCATTTTCCTGTAAAACAGGGATAAATGGCACCTACTGCTGGGCGTTGCTGTGAGGATTGCATGAGTTAAATGCGTAAAGAATAGTGTCTCCATGGAGCAAGGACAAAATACACACACTTACCCTGTACCAAACTGGATAACCTCACAATTTTGTCTTAGGTGGTTCTGT